TCTGACTAAATCGATAATACCTTGCAAAGGTATAAATAACAAAATAATCTTTTATATTTTCCTACAATAAATACACTTTAAAAGCAAGTTTGTTTTGTAGTATCTTCCCCTTAACAACAAAAATATATATAAAAAATTAAACGTGGAAAGAAACATTGACCCACGCAACGAATTGGCCAACAAATGCAATCGATGACAACAGCTGCGTCCCACACTCGCTGCTGCGGCTCACCTCATCCCAGGCCCACCCACTCTACGCCCCCTCTAGACCACCCCCTCAACCCCCAGTAACAGCTGCGCCTGCGTCTCTTCGGTTGTCGTTGAGTTTTTTGTTTTTTTTTTGTTTTGAGATTGTGGGCGTTAAAAACGAGAGAAGACGAAAGAAACAGTGAGAATACCGTTTGCAGTCGCTGTGTTAATTTGGCTCGCATATAAAATCTTCGATTTTATTTCGATGTCGGTGGAATCGCGTTGGATCATTGGGACAGCTGCGGTCAGTTGGATATGATGATGGTGGTGTTGTGGCTTTGACTGTGGTGGTGCTAGACACCCACCCACTTTTGGTGATTAGTTGTTGCGCTGCCAAATGCTGATGACGCGTACAGTGGGTGGGCTTGGAAACAACAACGGTTTAAAATTTAGTAAGAAGAGAGGAAGAGTAATTAATATTTTAACCAAGTATCATTAGTAGATTTTTAAAGTTACTTTCCTATGATTAAGTTTACTGGAAATTACCCCGCTTGACATAAAGATGTGAATAACCCAAACCCCCCACCTTGCTTCCGTTTATCCATCTGTATGCAAGATATGTCCCACTGTGCGTCATCGGCCAAAGCGTTTTTTAATAACTGCGTGCTGGTCCCGCAAGCTTGTGCAAAGGCAGGGAGGGAGGTTGGGGCTTGGGTGGCGGTACTGTGGCGTTAACATGTCATTAGCTGGTGGCTTCGCTGCTGCTGCTGCTGCTGCTGGTACTCCGCCCCCATCCCGTACACGCCCCTCCTGCGGTCGCGCTGGTGGCCTTTCACCGCAACAACAAGTAAATGTTGTGGCTCACCCTGAGCTGCCAGGTCGCCAGATTGCCGGATTGTCAGATCGGCGAATGCGGCGGCGGCTGGCCCAACCCACCGGTATGGGTGTTAAAAAGCAATGTCTACATATAAAAAAACTCTAGACAGTCCTACTTTTGCGAATCGAACCTCTTCAAAAGATCTTTGCAAATAAGACTCACCCTAAAAGGCTTGACTGCAATGTACAAGCAAAGTTACTTAAAAAACCTCCTTTAAATCCTTTACAATTATTATTCTAATAATTACAATTCCTCTGAAATACATATAAGCTCTTCAACGAAAGTTATTACTCTTATTTAAGGAAGCTTCACTGTATATTTTGTAATTTGCACATTGATGACCGTCCTCGAATATTGGCAATAACTTTTGATTAGCCCAGAGTCTCAATAATGATTGCAAAAACTAAATAAATAAATGAATAAACTAAAATAAAGCCAAAGAAAAGAAACAACAACAAAATCACCCCACAAGCCCCAAAAATTAAGGGGGAGAGCCAATAATGCGTTTACCGTTAACTGTTGCCCGGCATCTGCAAAGCTCGACATCTGCCAGCGAAAAAAAGCGGCTGATTATGGGTCGGGATGGGGGAAAGATTGGGGAAGAGGTAGAAGGAGAGCAGCTATCAAACCGCTCTCACTTATTTCGTGAGTGAGAGAGAAAGAGATCAGCGAAAATTCCCCCAACCGGCATTTTTCAGCTGCCCAACAAACCGGTTCTCTTACTCTCCCTCTCTTGGCTGTCCTCGCTCTCTCGCTCTTGCTCTCACAACTCCCCCAACTTGGGGGCTCCAAGTTTGGCGTCTTGCTTGCACACCCACCACCAGGCGACGCCAGCAGCGCAGTCGTCGGCGACGTCAACCGATCGCTGTTCTGATGTGCGCGTGGTTTTGTTGTTGTAAATTGATTTTGTTGCTGCCGCTGCTTGCGCGCCCATTTTCAGCCCACTCCCGTTTGTTGTCGTTGGTTTTTTTCTTTTGCTTTTTTTTTGCTGCTGCTGCTGCTGTCTGTTATTAGCAAAGCGGATGTTGTTGTTGCTGCTGGGAAGGAGGGTGTGAGAGAGTGTGGAGACAGAAAAGGGGGAGGCCTAGCACCCACACGCGCGACGGTTTGTTGCTGTTGGCAACGCACGACACTTTTTCCGTTGCTTTTTTTCTTCAATGTTGTTTTTTTTTTTTTAGGCTCGCCCACAACCGTTTTGACCCCACAGCGGCGGCGGCGGCTTATCAAAATCAGGGGGCATAGTGGCGGAAACGTCTTGGGAACGTTTTCAACTTCAGGCAGCTCTTTGGTTAATTTCTAAATACCTCTTCAATTTTATATTTAAATACTTATTAAAGTCATTTTTTATTACAAGATTTTACCATCTTATCTCTGAACAAAAACCCTTTCAAAGGACTAAAAATCCTTAAATAAATTCTTTGTGCTATTAGCTTTCCTCCCCTCGAAATGGTATATCCAGTTCCCCCCAAAATGGAGCATGATCTTGAGCCCAGAGTTTGGCCAAAGTCAAAGCTATGTGCCCTTGGCTTGAAAAGCCACACGCAGAGAACGGAGTGGGGCCGCCGGAGATCAGGGCACAGCCCGAAGCCCGGACCTCAAAGTAAAGTCCCCCTTTTCGCCTCCTCCCCTCCCCTCCCCTCGAAAAAACACTCGAGGTAAAGCAAACAGCGAGGAATAACCACACCACAAAACGCCCCCATGGAGGCAGAAACACCAGAAAAAAAAAAACACAAAAACAACAAATACAACGCCAAGCAACACCCCACTGTAAAAAGCACACGAAGCATAAAAATCAAATATGCAAAAAACTCTGAGAGAGATACGAAATATGAACTCAAAAAGAGACGAAGAAACGGATCGGATTGGATCGTATCGGAACGGATCTCGGGACTGGGAACGGTCGTAATCATCATGGTCTCGTGGGTGTGTGGGTGGTGGTGTTGCTACACACAAGAAAATTTGGAAAAATAACTCCTTAAACGATATTGATATTAAATATTGAAATCTTATCAAAGATTTACTCTTTTATCAAATTTTATTGATGTTAAATTGGGAAACTTCATATTTCTCATATCATATGATATGTAATTGTTTTTTAAATACTTGATTGACCAAATATTTTGTTCAGTGTATCCACTGCCTGTGGTGCTGATGGTGCCTAGTGGGTGTGTGGGTGGGCGCAGCCATTGGCGCTGGGCCATAGAACGTGCCCAGGGCCCAGCAGCAAACCAAACACACAATTTTGTCGCCACAAAGTGGCAGAAAAAAGCGTTTGCTGCTCTCCACAAAAAAAAAAAATACAAAAAAATAAATAAATAAATAAATAAAAATAATAATAACCAAACAGCAAGGCGCAGCAACATGTGGCCAAGAAAAATAAACACAGAGAGAAAATTTCATTAAGAAATGGTAGAAGTTTAAAAAAGTCAAAGATTAAAATCTTACTTTGATTTCTGTTTAAGTCAGAAACAACAACTTTAATCTATGTAACTTATTAACTTAAATTTTAAATAACTATTTATTTTTGTATATAGCTAATCTGAGAATGAAAATTATAGAATACATTTTAGGAATTTCTTGTTTATAATTATAGGCTTATATATTGTTTTGAAATTAGAATTTCTTATATCTCAAGAACTTTCCATTTCTATGATATATTTTTCCCTGACTCTTGAGTACAATTTGCATTTTATAATTCCCTTAATAATTTATAAAAGTTGGTATATTATTTCCTGTGCATAAAGATCTTGGGATGTAGAAAAAGAGAGTCGTCTAGGCACTACCCACACCCACCCACCGAACCGCAGAACAAAAGCGCCGCCACCAAAAAAATTGCCGCGTTTGCTGGCAATTTGTCTTACTGGGAAGGAGGATGATGATGATGATGATGCTGGGCCATAGCTATGATGGTGATAATGATAATGACGATAATGATCGGACCGCAGAGAGGAAGACGCTCAATGGGTTTTTGGGTTGGTTCAGTTCAGTTGGGCACGTCAAGGTGGTAAATTTATTAATATATGCAGAGGAGGCCCCCCCTCGAAAAAAAAAGAGTCACAAGTGTTTGGGTGTTTTGTGTGCATTAAAAAAAGGTGGTTTAGGTCACGAAAGTTTCAGTTTTGCATTAGTAACATAAACTAACTCATTACTTAATATATACAAAGTTATATAAAGAAATTATAGCTACGAAATCTCAAGTAATTCCAAGTTTAAAGAATGGAACTTGACAAATCTTTAATTTCAATCACAAGAACTATAATTTTTCCTTGTAAAACCCATAACGTTTTCGTCATTTTTGTGGCCTGTTGTTGTCCCTCAACTCTGGCGGTCCATAAATCGAAGATTCGTATAAAAAAAAAGCCCGCTCCAAAGCGTTGTCTCTCTCGCTGACTCAGCAACAGCGATGCTGCGTCAAAGCGAAACCCAAGCCCCGAGTTCAAGCCCAGTTCCCCAATACCAACAATCCCCAAGCCGAAAGCAAAATCAAAAGCAAAACCCCCCACGCAAGCGCCCCAAGGCAGTCCGGTCTACGGTCGGTTTCAGTACCCCCCTAAGACTCCTCCTCCTCCCCCACAGCGGACGACGAGTTGGATGTGTCAGCAGCAAATCGGTTCCCAGAAGTGACGTCGCCGCCGGGAGGCGTTGGGTATTTCGGTGCCGGATGTGTGTAGCAGCCTCAAAGATAGTCGGACTAACTAAATCCCCCTAAGGCCGAATGCATTTCCGATCCAGTGTCAGGCAGTGGCGGTCATATAACAGGTGGGGATTAGGGGTTTTACCTCTACAGAAAAGTGTGTGTAATTAGTCTGGAATTGTTAAGAGGTTTAATATTAATTTTTGAACTTGAATTAGCCTTAAGAAGCAGGATTTCTGGGTGAATACATTTAGAAAACTTGACTTAACCATTTCCTTTCTTTCTCTTTTTCCAAAACAGTTCTCGGCGAGTGGACGCGGAGGCAACAGCAAGAGCAGCAGCCGCCGCCCCCAGAGAGCAGCAGCAGCAGGAGCAACGCGCCCGTTAGCCAAGGCCGATAACGGCAACGAGGAGCTACTGCAATGGCCACACTAATACCAGTGAACGGCGGCCATCCAGCAGCGAGCGGACAGTCCTCCAATGTGGAGGCCACATACGAAGATATGTTTAAAGAAATTACACGCAAATTATACGGCGAGGAGACCGGAAACGGTTTGCATACGCTTGGCACGCCGGTGGCTCAGGTGGCCACCAGCGGGCCAACGGCGGTGCCCGAGGGCGAGCAGCGCTCCTTCACCAACCTGGTAAGTATCTCCATAAAACACCTTTGAAATGTTTAAAAAACTCATTGCAAATCTTTTCAATCTTTCCATTTCGACAGCAACAATTGGATCGCTCGGCAGCGCCCAGCATAGAATACGAGTCCAGTGCGGCAGGTGGTGCCTCCGGCAATAACGTGGCTACCACCCAGGCCAATGTAATCCAACAGCAACAGCAGCAGCAGCAGCAATCCGAATCGGGTAACTCTGTGGTGGTGACGGCCAGCAGTGGAGCAACTGTGGTGCCGGCACCCAGTGTGGCGGCCGTGGGTGGCTTCAAGTCCGAGGATCATTTAAGTACCGCCTTTGGGTTAGCGGCCCTGATGCAGAACGGCTTTGCAGCGGGCCAGGCGGGTCTCCTGAAGGCCGGTGGTGAGCAGCAACAGCGGTGGGCTCAGGACGGATCGGGTCTGGTGGCTGCAGCAGCAGCTGAGCCGCAACTGGTGCAATGGACCTCGGGCGGTAAGCTGCAAAGCTATGCCCATGTCAGCCAGCAACAGCAGCAGCAGCAACAGCAACAACAGCAGCAGCAACAGCCGCATCAGAGCACACCCAAGTCCAAGTAAGGATCGCAGTTTGTTTCCATAACATATTTGGGTTTAAAATATATTTCTGAATCTCATTTTAATTTAAAATGTTTTCCAATTTCCCCAGAAAACACCGTCAAGAGCATGCAGCTGAGTTGATATACGCCAGCCCCTCGACATCGGCCAACGCGGCCCAGAATTTGGCCCAGTCCACACCCACCTCAGCGCCCAGCAACAGCAGTGGCGGCAGCACTAGCTCCTCCGGTGGCGGAGGAGGTGGCGGTCGCAAGAAGGCCTCGCAGGCAGCAGCCGCTGCAGCTGCCGCTAATGGAGTTCACATTCAAAAGCGATACGCCTGCACCCATTGTCCGTATTCGACGGATCGAAGGGATCTGTACACCCGGCACGAGAACATCCACAAGGACGAGAAGCCCTTCCAGTGCTATGCCTGCCTCAAGCAGTTCAATCGTGCCGATCATGTCAAGAAGCACTTCCTGCGCATGCATCGTGAGCTGCAGTACGATATAAACAAGACCCGTCGCCATGTCTCCGCGGGCAGTGGTTCCTCTGGCAGCGGATCCTCAGGCAGTGGATCTCATCATTCCGGCGGACGTGGCAATGTGACCATTAACTCGGCGGGCGTAAACATAGACAATGCCTTCTTGGAGGCGCAACGGCATCCCACCTCGACCAGCATGAGCATCGTGGAGACTATCGAAGCGGTGGCCTCAGCGGCGGATATGCCGTTGGCCCAGCTCAAGCAGGAGAAGCTGGACGATGGAGCCGGAGGTGTCCTACCGCTCCATGTGGGCGTTATGCAGCAGCAACAGCAACCGGTGGCCAGCTCAAGTTCCGGCAGCAGTGGCAGTCATAATGGAAATGGCAACGGCAACGGCAGCAACTCGGGCCTGTTGAAACCGAAGCGAGAGAAGCGCTTCACCTGCTGCTACTGTCCATGGTCTGGAGCGGATAAGTGGGGCCTCAAGCGCCATCTCAATACGCACACAAAGCCCTTCGTTTGCCTGCTCTGCGATTACAAGGCGGCTCGCTCCGAGCGCCTGGCCACCCATGTGCTCAAGGTGCACAATAAGAGGGCATGCAGCAAGTGCTCCTATCTGGCGGACACACAGGAGGAGTATCAGGCTCACATAAGCGATGTGCAGTAAGTGTTTGTTAGATTACATATGTATACAATATTCTATATGCTTCCTGCCCACGTTTGCCGCATTGGGAATGATGATGAAAACTCTAAAAAAGCTTTTGAACTCTCTTTCGCCCCCGCTTCTCTCGCCCTCTGCTCTCTCTCACTGTGCTCTCTCTCTCTCTATCTATTTCGCTCTCCAAACCAAACAAATCAATCCGTGATACCTTGATACATTGATCAGTCCGCACGATAATCGGCCGGCGCGCAGCGGCAACGGCAACCAGAGCGGCGGCGGCAGCAGCGGCAATAGCAACGGCAATGGTAATGGCAATGGGAATGGCAATAATGCCAACTCCAATGCCAATGCCGGTGGCCACAGCCATAGCCAGAATCTCAATGTGCTGCGCACCATTGGCAACAGCCTGGTGGCCAACAATCAGCTGAACACCTATGCCGGCAACGCTTTTGGGTAACATTCTCAGACCGCCCTGCCCCCACAAAAAAAAAAAAAAAAAAATACATTATATATATATTTATATAAAACCACAATCCTTCCCCAAAAAAAAAATCAAAATAACAAAATCCAAAACGAGCGCGCACAACGTTCCTAACTCTAGTTACTACCCTCGTTCTCTCGTTCTCTCGACTCTCGATCCCCATGACATCCCCAAATCATGATCATCACATCATCTCCAACGCCCATTGACCTCCACCACAACCACCAACCACCAACCACCATGAACCACATCACCATTTTCGGTTAGCTCGTCCAGTGGCAATGTGGGAAATGCGAATGGAGGCGGCGGCGGAGGTGCCGTTACCATCTATACCACCACTACCAATGAGGGCGTGGCAGGCGGCACCGGTGGCAACGGTGGCAGCGGCGGCATTAGCAGTAACATCACTGGCGGCGGACCGCTCCAGGAGATCATCGTGAATCCATCGTCGATGGTCGGTTGGCGGCTGAGCGCCAATGGGTCACTGATACCGCCGCATGACCTGCTCACCGGCGGCTTGCCAAATGCAGCCACGCAAAAGCGCGGCTCGGAGCGATTGTTTCAATACCTCGAAGCCGAGGGCAGCGATCCGGAGGACTATGCGCGGTATTTGCATAAACAAATCTATATCCAATTCGTTATCGTTGTGTTTTATTTTCCTTGATTTCAATTCGTTTACAAATATTGTGACTACATCCCTGTCCTTGGTTAAATCAATTAAATAACCATTAAGGTTTTGTTATTGGTTTATTTAATACATTTAAGGCTTTTGTCCTTTTTTTCTAGTCAAGCTTGTGTTGTTATATTTTTCTTGATCTCCCTGCACTTGTTAGTGTTCTTCACTAATTGTACTCATTATCATCTTTTTGTACATTTATTTCATTTGTGGACTTATCATATTTCATATATAGGTGGTTTTAAATGAATCTTTCTTATTCGTTACTCGCTAGTTTTTGTTTTTAAGTTTTCTTGTCCTTGATTTGCCTAAAATTATATTCGTTTGTTGAATTTAATTTTAGTTAATTCCCTTTTGGTTGTGTTCTGTTGTCCCTGTTGTCTAAACCTATATTTATTCATTGAATTTAATTTAAAATACATATTAATTTAATTTTACAGCGAGTACTCAATACTCGTTACTCGTTACTCCTGTTTGGTTAAGTTTTCTCGTCTCATTTTTGCTCAAAAATATATAATTTTCTTGAGTTCAAATTGGTTTCTTATAACCATTGTTTTATAATTTCGCACCATTGCACATGTTTTTATTAAATTGTATTAACAATATATTAATATCCTTTTATTTTCTTTACAGTCTGCTCAAAATGGACGCCATTAGTCGCAACACCGCTTCGGTCGCTCAGGATTTTCATAAGGCGGGAGGCGTGCACGAGTTGAAAATACCAGCCAATCATCAACTCTTGTTTAACAATAAACTGCCTTCGCAATGGACGACACGAGAGGCTGCTGCACTGCTGTACAGCCTGAGCAGCATGGGCAACAATAATGGCAGTTCCGGTTCCGTTTCCGGCTCCCAGCGCCAAAAGTTTGGCATGCGAGCGCGACAACATTCCACCGGCGAGGATGACGAGAATACACCATCGTCGGCGTCCTCGTCTAGCTTCTCTGGTGATGAGTTCAACATGAGCGCCACATCGCCGTTGAAGCTGTCGCGGCATGCTGCACTCAAGCTGGAGAAGAAAATGGAGGATTCCAAGGAACTGGTGCCCACCAAGGCGATGATGGCAACGGCATTTCTGGAGGCGGCCAACTACGAACAGACGGCCATCGAGCTGCTGGCCAGCAAGCGGAAGATCAAGGTCGAGATCGAGAATGATGAGGAGAACGAGAACGACGAGGATCAGGAGAATCAGCAGCAGCAACAATTACAGTCACATCAGCAGCATTCCCAGCAGCAGCAGCAGCGATTGCAGCTTATTAAATCGTCTCCCGCGTATAAATTGAACAACAATAACAATAACAATAGCAACAGCAATAATAACAATAACTACTACAAGGACAAGACATCGCACAGAAATGCCGTTCACCATCATCATCGCCAGGATGACAAGGAGAACAAGACCAAGTCGTCGCCAACAGCAGCAGCAATAGCAGCAGCAGCTGGTGTACCTGCAGCTGCAACAACGCCGCCCAGCAGCAGCACTAACCAGACAACGTTTCTCACCCAAATGGAGTACCAGAATCTCAATCGCATTGGTACTCAGTTCCAGAACTATGTCAAGGACATCATAAACAAGTATTATGCGGCGGAGACGCCTCTAATGCTGGCCGCTGCCGCTGCTGCATTGCCCACGGCCACGACAACGGGTCAGCAGCAGCTGCCGGACATTGAGAACCTGTCGCCCAGCAAGCGTCGGCGTCTGCTCAGCGAAACCGAGGAATACATCGAATATCTGCGAAATAAGGAGGATATTACCTTGACCATTGCACCAAAGGTCTCCCGGCCTGCATCGCCGTCGCTGCTCAAGCGCCAGTTGGATCTTACCGCGCCACGTCGCAGTCCAAAGAAGGCACCACCAGCTAACAATGTCTCCCGGAAGTCCCTCAACCAATTGGCCACGTTGCTGCCCCTTCTGGCTGATGCGGCCAGCAAGCAAGAGTATTTGGCCGCTCCGTTGGACTTCAGCAAAAAGTCCAGCTCTCGCAAGCAGGCGCAGCCCAAGAAGATCCGGCTAACACCCGAGGCGGTGGTGACCATGCTGCGGGACAAGTACCTCAATCGAATGGTGCGCCAGCGTCTGGGATGCCACAAGTGCAGCCAGTCGAGCGGAAGCAGTGGCATCAGCTTCAACTACCATACGCTGGGATCGTTGGCATTGCACAAGTATTGGCGCCATCGCCACGAGGGAACCGCCAGTGGAAAAAAGCTGCGGGCGGCGCTGCAGAAAAGGATTGCCGGAAAATCGCTGGCGACCGTGTAGATTTTTCGGTTTTGTTCTTGGAAAATGTTTTGCTTGGAATGCATTTGGCATTTTTCTGACTTTTGAAAATTGTTTAAAAAATTGCATTTAATTTTTTAAATTTTAAGTTGTGATGTACCTGAAATATGATTTCTCTTAAAAAAAAAAATACTTAAACAAACAAAAAAACAAATCACAATTCAAGCAGGGCAGCCGCTTGCAGGTGAATTTCATTATCTTAGTTGTACAATTGAACTAACTCACAAGACACTCACAAACACACTCACACACACCCTTGTACACACATATTCACAAGGATATTTAATGATTTATTAACTGGAATGAGCATTTATCAAAATGTATTATTTCCACCAATTGTATTTCCTTTATTTTTCGAATGAATCATGTGAAGTATAAAAGCTTTAATTTGCCATTTTACAAAGCTTGCTGCGTTTAGTTACGAGTAATAACGATTGCCATCTTTTTACACTTATAAATATATTATAGCCTTTAGTCATCATTAGTCGTTACGTTGCCTTAGTTTACGGATTAATTTATGGAACTGCAAAACGCGAACCTCATCGAACAAACCCTTTTGCCTTACTTATCATTTAAGCTTTAACGTGAAAATACATTAAGTTTTAGTTGCTTTAAGTTAAGTTACCTCCTTCTCGGAGCAGTCACGCCCACTCAATGCCCTCTCACAAGACATTCTCTCGAGAAGCGTTTTAAATACGAAAGAAGCGTCTATATAAATATTTAAAAAACAAGCTTAAAATGAACAAAACTACATATATATATTACTGTACGTGTAGATGTATTCATGATTTTATCAGAAACAAAACCAAGTTAGAGATTGCGAAGCGAAGGACAAGAAGGACATATGTCAAAATACTCAACAAAACATGGATAGAATACAACAACAAAAAACAACAACTTTTTCACCACACACTGGAAACAAGAAAAATATTTGACTGAAAAGTGTCGGGGAAAAGAACATTATATAATATATATGTATGAATAAAGGTATAAACAATTTTAGTGTAAAATGTGTGTGTTTTTGCTAAATGTGGTAAACTAAAACATAAATAAAAAAAACGAAGGAAAACCGTAAATTTATTACACAAAAACTAAACTAAAAAATGCGTAAGCGATGAGAAATTCTTAAGTAAAGTAAATTTTTGGATGACAAAGCCATTTAGACAAAATTTTTGAGACGAAAAAAGACATTTATAAGAAAGGAAATATGAAAAAAATGAAAACAAAAAACAAACCGAATTACTTTAAATTTTATTTAAGCAATGACCTTGCAACAAAAAAAAAAGAACAAAAAAACTATAATTACAACAACAATGTAATGTGAGTGTTTTTAGTTTAAAATTATATATTTCCAAAACATTCAAAATAAAACATAATTAGTTTAAAATATAAAATATAAAACTAACTTGTTTCAATGGGTAAAGGTTTGTGTTTCCAGTATTTAATATTAAAAAAATAAGGAATGTCAGTTTTGTGGCATCTCAAGACATCGTCAAAGGTAAATAAATTTCGTATTCGTATCTTTGGGAGTTATCTTTTATGATCAACAATAATTTGACATTAAATTGTTGTATTTCCTAGAGCAAAAGACAAAATTAATTAAATTGAGATGTAATAGTAATGGTTGAAGAACTCTTGGAAACAATAAGCTTGCGTTTTTATGCATATTTGTCTTTAAGAATGTGTTGGAGTTGTTTTTGTACAATTAGATCTTGCTTTTCTCTCAAAAACTCTCCAAGGACTTATTTACGTTCAATCACAAAGATAACAAACTTGGTTGGGTTATTACAGGCTTTTTATTAAAGCACAAATATTTAGCTACAAACTAGTTTCTTAAAAATGTACTTTAGACGCATATATCCATTGTTTTATGAGTTATTTTAACGAGCATCGAAGACGACAACTGCAAAGCAAAAACAAAAGATTTCATCAGTACAGTTTGACAATCATTGGAGACTCTTGGGGACAGATTTACTTACGACGCTTGGTGCGCTTCTTGTACATGATGCGATAGCCGCACTCGCGGCAACGGATGGGATCCCTGGGTCGCATCTCGTTCTCGTGATGACATTCTACAAGTTATAAATAAAATTATATTAATTATAATAGGTAAACCTTAATTATACAACTTTGTTATTGGTTTTATCTTAGCAGCCATGTGCGTGTATGCGGAAAATCATTTTCCGCTTGAAGTACTTGTTCCCGTCAACTTACCGCCACATATATATGTCATTGCTGTCTTCACATTGTCCTTCGAACTAGTTTCCGACATTATTTCTAAGTTTTTTGTTAATAAACTTGAAAAAATAACAAGAAATGTGTTTTGTTTTGCCGAAATTTCGTTTAGAGTGACCGTTGGTAATAGCAATAGGAAATACTTCCAACAAATACATACTAAATTTTTGGTATGTTATAAATGTGATAAATTCAAATTTAAAAACTGATTTATTGTTAATTTATTTAAAATTTTATTAAATCAACTTATTAAAATTTAATAAATTACATGTTAAATATTGCTCAATCTTAAGCTTCTCATAAATCGCCTATTCTCTCTCTTTTCGTTGTATTTTATTAAGTTATTTTTATGTTTGGACGTCTTATAGTGTCTGATCATACTTCCAACTATAGAAATTCCACAGGGATTACAAAAGTTGATCTCTACAGGCTTTTGATCCCTAGGAGCTGTGGAAAGTTTCCTAATTGGCTTTTTCATCAGCTTTCCCAAGGATTCAGTCTTGGCTTCCCTCCTTAAACATGTTTTTGGAGATTCCACATCGTGATCTTTTTTTAAATGATTGCTTTGAATACTTTCGGTAATTTCCGTTTCTCTAATTTTAGTCCTTTCCGTTTCCATCTTACGAAGGTTATCCTGATGCCTTTTCGACCTGCAATGCCGCAGATAATTATCCTTGGCTTTGATGGTCAGGTTACAAATCTCGCAGTGGGTTACATGCAGCATTAGATGCACAGCCTTCCGATGGATTTGCATCTTTCCCTGGCTGTAGAATGTGGCTCCACAAATCTCACAGGTGAAGTTTTTCTGCTTCAGATGCTTCCGATTTAAGTGTTCTCGGAGTAAAAACGAGTTGGAAAAGCTTTGATTGCAATGATGACACATTGGTTTGGGTGCTTGTGGCTTCTTGCTTAGACCTCGGAGCTCTCTCACTTTCTCTCTGTGTTTCTTAATAGCTTCTCGGCATTGCCTTGGTGTGTGATTACTGCAGCACCTTGCCAAAGTGGGAACTTGACAAATAAGACATAGTTTCTTCCTGTCGTGAATCCTGGTAACATGGGTGTTTCGTGTTGAAGCCAATTGGAATTTTGAGCAGCACTTGGGGCACTTAAAGCGACGATAGCGAAGATGACAGGCCTTGCGAATGATCTTTTGATGATTGATTAAAGACTTTCTTGTGAGGAATGATCTATTGCAATTGTAGCAGGAGAAGGAGGCCTCTGGATCTCGCTGAGTCTTTCTGTGTTTGTTCAAAAAGTGAAGCTGGTGGCTAAAAGAAAAGCGGTATTTAAGATCACAAAGTGGACACTGAGAGTGCATAAAGCGTTTACGCTCCCGGATGGGGGATCTATTTTCCTCCTCGTAATCCAGACGTAAGTTGTTCGGCACTGGCACCATTATATCTTCCACTTGGACAGGTGCTTGTTCTAGTTCCTTTAGCTCCTTGGACCTCTGAGCCTGTAGCAATCTTTTGTAGCTCTCATTTTCCATTAGTTCCTCGGAGCTGGGACTTCTACTGCCGATCCTTCTGATCAAATGAGCAGTCAATGAGTGCTGCAGGTAAAACCGGCGATAGCAGATCCTGCAGTGAAAGTTGTCGCTAAATCGGTGATCCTTCTGGTGCTCTTCTACATCCTGAAGCTTGCGCCACGGTAGCTTCTCGCATTTCGAGCAGGAGCAGCGCAATCCGGGAAAGTTGAGAGCTGCCTCTTTGGGACGCAGGGCACCTTGCGCTTCGGTGGGGGATAGCTGACTAACCGCTCGCCTGTAGCCTGAGGTGACAGTGTCCAGGATCTCAGCCAGCTTTTCCTTGGGCACTGCTCTTCCATGGACAGCTAATTTCTTTGAAATGGCAGCAAAATCCTCTTCCAAATCCACTTTAAAGTACTGATTGGTCCACAAATGATCCATTAACTGGGCAGCCTGCAGGAGCAGCAACATGTCAGAGCTGCGAAACCGCATCATCTTCTGGACATCGTCGCCAGCGGCGGCAGAGGAAGAACGGTCGTCGGATTCCCCATTGAATGCCACGTATTTCTGGCTGAATCCTCGGCAGCATTTGCACTTGCAGGCACAGGGTGTGGGGCATCCTGTTGGTTTCTGGCCAATTTGTAGAGGAGGCAGATCGTTGGTAAAGTTTTCATAGATAATTAACAATTTTCCGGGCCAAGACATGAAAGAAAATAAACTTTGTAAACAAAAATTACATCAACAAGTGGCAGTATGACCAGACAATACAAAGTATAAAAATCCTAAAAAACTAGTATTTATTTGGGAAATCGATTAAGTGCCATCACTAATCGAGCCATCGCATATAAAGTGACCAGACTCTAGAGCTGAACAGCTGTTAGGTTTTCGCGGCATTTTATTAAAAGTTGTGAAATTTATTAAAAACAATGGTTAAAAGAAAAGGAAAAGCCTTGAAATTTGGCATGCATCCGCGTAATGTGTTGCGCCAGCCGCCTGACTACACCAAACTGGCTATTAAGTACAAGGACTTTCGGCAAGTGTGCCAATTGGTATGTTGCCTTACTTTTGTTGGGAGTTTCTTAAATTTCATTCCTTATTCATTAATTAGGAGCTTACTGGCAAAGTGTCTGTGGATTTTCGCAATGAAAAGACGCTGAGAGAACTCACCAAGACGCTGCTAAAGGAATACTTCGATTTAGATGTTAACTTTGCCCCAGGAAGTCTGGTGCCTACATTGGCTCTGCGTTTGAACTACATTCTGTGGCTGGAAGATCTGATGGAACCACTGAAATTGGAGGAAATAAGAGGCATTGATATTGGTAGGTCTTTGAGATTATAATACTTACTGAATTACTTATAACTATTTTCTTAGGATGCGGTTCCTCCTGCATTTACTCTCTATTGGGGGCCAAGAAAAACGGTTGGCATATGCTAGCCCTAGAATCAAAGCTCCTAAATATCGAGTATGCCCGAGAGAATGTGAAAAGAAACCAACTGCAAGGCCTTATTGATGTCTTTGCTCAACCAGATAAGAACTCTATATTCAAGAGCTATTTCCTGGAGAAGCAGCAGGAGACTGACTTCCATTTTTGCCTGTGCAATCCACCCTTTTTCGACTCCAACTTGCCCAATCCCTTTGGGGGCAATACGAGAAATCCAGAGCGACGTCCTGCACCAAACAATGTCAGAACAGGTAGCCAGGAGGAGCTCACTTGCGTGGGCGGTGAAGTGCAGTTCGTGCAGCGCATCATAGACGAGAGCCTGGAAAACCAGCAGCGCGTACGGTGAGTCAATCTTGATTAGTGTCCAACTAGTTGAAATTACATTTAACTTGAGTCTTGCTCTACGTTTTCCGTTCTCTGTTTTCTGTTGTTCTTGGTTGCAGCATCTTCACCACAATGCTGGGCGTCAAGGCCAATGTGCCCAAGATACTGGACTATTTGAAAGAGCGGCAGGTGGCAAATGTCAGCACCACGGAATTCCATCAGGGACATACCACGCGATGGGCAGTGGCCTGGAGCTACCATTCAGAGCCTCTAAGCCAGGCGGCGACAACTTCTAATTAAGTTACTTCTTCGATTCAGGTGAGTCCTTCTATGCTCTTGAATTGTGCTTACTTTAAGTAGATTTTAAGTGAGCTGAATGGTAGTATGAGTTCTCTTGAACTTGGTAATGATATTAACAATATGGCAAGGTTATAAGCGGCTTTTAGGATAGATATATATTCCAATTTTACAACGCCCACAGTATCTCCCTTTTCAACTGCAAATATAGCTGCAGGCTTTGATTGCCCACCTAATGTCCTTGTATTATAACTGCGTAAATACCTGGGCGGGATTTCGCATGTTTTAAAAATAAACTTAAGCTGCTGCAGCTGCAGCACCAAATAAACTCTGACCTTCAACCCACACCTCCGAGGGGTGGAGAACTTTCCAGTTGCGACTCCATTTGGTTGGGTTGGTGCTGGCTGTCAGAAAGCTTTTCCCCTAAATGGAAATTTGCATGTCAATGCTCACTTTACCGCCCGCCAGCCAGCCAGCCAGGTCCACGAACGGAAATTATCGTTTCGTTGCTATCATTGACCACAGCTGACCACCCACACACTTGGACTTTCCACGGAATAAAAGCAAACAGAATCAGAAATGGCAACAACCGAAATGGAGACCAACACGCAGACTAAGCAAAAGTCGTCGTCGTTGCTCTGCGCTGGTCAACACCGGAATTTCCACACCTTTGTCCTGGGGAATTCGTGCTATTCCACTGCTCCTACGCTACTCCTCCGCCATGTGGCATCGCAAATAGTAACTTTTAATTGCCGCACAAGGCACGCTTGCTCCGGTTTTCCACCCCCCACAACTTGGCAAAGAATACTCTTTTGGAGGTGGTCATATGAACTATTTTAAATTCGTATTTTATAATATGAATTTAAAGTATTTTATTAGGGAATATAATATTACGAACGGGAGAATCTTATTGTTTATCTTTTTAATAATTTCTTGTCCACCATTTTAATATTTTTTAATTCAATTAAAAGATCGACATCTTTTAAAACCAGAATAGGGATGTTGGAAAATATTGATATATCTTTCTGAATCAATATTTTACGCTTGGGTAGATTTATAAATATATGTTCTAACGTTTCTATATACAAATTTCCGATATCAGATAGATTATTGTACTAATTGTCTGATATTAGGATATTTTTTAATATTCAAAACTTTGATTAATCAAAGTTTACACAATTTTCGACACAATATAGTTGTTTTATCATATCCCTAGATCACAATAATATAGTATCTCTTCATAATAAATTCCTGGATAATTTTTTCAAAGAGTATTCCTACATTTTCACCATATCCTTTTCTATATTTGCTCTACTTTCCGCTTGCCTTTTTGATCCTTTTCATGACTTGGCCGTTGCTGTTGGCCTTTTGTTGATGTCGTTGCTGCTGCTTTTGTGGCTGTTTTTGTTGTTGTCTTTTATGGCATTTCAACACGTTAAGGTGTAAAGAACAACGTAATTAAAATGCAAGCCGTTGGTTTTTGAGTCTGAAAGGATATGGTCTCCCGGCTGCGTCATGTTGCGTCCTAGGTGCGGTCGGTTTTGTTTTTCAGTTTTTTTACGTTCATGTTTTGAGGATTTTGGGGTCTCTGTCTCTTTCCACTGATTACGCCCAAAAGGCTCCCCCGTGGCCGCTCTGTCTCAAATTTTTCCAGCTATTATCTTAATTTTAGGCACCCAAGGACTCACTGAATTCGACACGTGTTCCTGGGCTTCGTCCTGGGCTTCGTCCTGGGCTTGTCCCTGCCGATGTGGTAATTGTTAATTAAAAACGCGCTCTGGTCACGTAGTGAGTGTGTGGGGTTTGAAGACATAAAAACCCCACCACAAATCCAGAACCATTCGAAACAGATCCGAGTTTGACTTCTTTAGTGGCCGCCGCGTCGTTAAATTGTTTGGAAAATAAGTTTATGTTTTGCCATAACTTCGAATAATAATACTTGTGTCTATGGCATTGAGTTTTGTAATACATTTTTAATGCCTCCATTAAGGGATTAGCGTGAGGGGGGAAATATAAGATAAGATAAGATAAGTAATTGCCTTGTCCATGGAGGGAAATAAGTGTATTATTGATGGGAGATTTTTATACCCTTGGAGGGTAAAAAGCTTGTAAAACTGTGAAGGAATCATTTCCGACCCTATAAATCATATATATTCTTGATCAGCATCAAAGGGCGAGTCGATCTAGCCATCTCAGGCGGAAAAACAATTTTCATAATTTTTTCAAAACTTTTGTATAATTAAAATTGTAAAAATTTGATGAAATTTGTAAAAATTTTACATTTTTCATTGAGTATGCAGATTTATAAACCTACTTAAATCTAACAAAGGAGTGCTTTCCGAATGGAAATTAATTCATTTTTGGCTGAGTTATGAGTTTTTAAACTTTGATTTGTAGAAAAAATTGACATTTTAAAATATATATTCAAAGAATCCGAAATTTGAAGCTTATTGTACTTTTTACCTTTTAAATTATAAATCCCGAACTTCCTTATCTCTGCAAAATTAAATCCAAAACAAAACCTTTTAAAAAAGTTGACTTACTCCTTCGATTAACCCATTAATGTAGCCCAAATAAATACAAAAAAATTGACCACAACTTGGTGGTTTCCTATACGACCTGAAATCCCTGTCAACTTTATAAAATTCGGACATCAATCAATTGCCAAAAATCATCCATCAAACGATCCTGAGCCCAGGGCTAAACCACCACTGACAATATAAAAAAAACAGGAAGCGCGTGGGCCCCAAAAAGTAGGCAATGACTTGACACAAAATGTTTTTTTGAGATTTAAATCGAAGCGGACAGCTCTTTAAGCCATAGAAATCCATTTGGGAGTTGGCAGGAGCATATAGGAGGACCCTTCGTGATGGCACGTAACGAGCTGCCAGACGGCGGTGTCTGTTGCAATTGGCAGCAGGCAGCAGCAGCTCCACTTTCCTCCCCCTCTCTCCCTCTCGAAAAAATAAAACCCTCTAAATATACGGGGCTATTGTCGTGTCGCCCTGTGCATGCAGATACATTCACTTAATGCAATGAAAAGCAACCAAAAAAAAGGAACGAATCAAAGGGGTTTAAAAACAGACAATGCAAATGCACCAAATGCGTGTGTGCAGGGGCGTGGCAGGAGGAGGGGTGGTGTAGAGTTTTTAATTAATTGAAATTATTGGGAAATCCTATTGGTTGTAATTAAGAAAAAAGAGGATATTATAAGATATCTTTATGTTAAATAATTTCAAGACAAGGCTTCCTATATGATCTTTAAACAATACTATACAGATCCTTGATGCTGCAAAGGTCCTTTGAACTTTGCTTCATTCTAGAGTTTGATAAAAATAATTTTTAACTGATAAATAACCTTCAATTTAACCTTTTTTTGCAAAGTAAACTCTAGTCTTTTATAACTTTAATTTAATTGAAATATTCGCAAATAAACATCCCAAAACTCCTTCTCCAAGGACCTGCATGCGCCCCTGTCTCCTCTCTGTGTGTTAGTGTCTGTGTCTGCGGTCGATGTCTGTCTGTGTGTGTGTGTGTGTGCTTCACTTTTTGTGGCGTGTGTGTCATTCATGTAACCTTTCAATAAACATGGCTGTGCGGGCGGTGTGTGGGCCAATAGGCGTGGCATTCGTTGCAAGCATGCAACCAGGAGGAGGAGAAGGAGTTACAACAGGGAGTCGTGTAATTGAACTCCTTATACATATACCCCGAGTCCGGTTGAGTGTGCCTGCCCTGGGAAACTCTTGAATGTGATTTTAAAGTCAACAGCAAGCGCCACTCCTGTCCTGACATCCGAACTGTCATTTTTTGGTTTGCCGCTTGTCTGCCAGAGCTCCGAGCTCCGAGCTCCGCTCCAATCCGATCCGATACCCATCCTAACCCACCTCCTCCTCCTCATCCTCGTTGGCCATCTATTGTCTGCTCATATTCCCCGGTTAATATTGGCTTGGCATATGGCCAAGAGCTGGGTTATCGGATATGAATGCAGCCATCCATGCAATAAGCAAGGCACGGCTCCTTTTAAAGCTTATAAATAAATACAATAAATATTTATAAATTTAGATGAGTAAATTTTATTTACTCTCGATTTTTGTGTGGTTTATATTTAGGTGAGGAAAGTATTATGATAAGTACAGAATTTTATTTAAAACATATTTGTAAGTATATTATTGAACAGGATAACATTGTTAGAAAGTTAAATAAAGTAGAGGTAGATAAAGAAAAATAGGTAATATTTTAAGGTGGAGCAATTCGTGAGGTTTTTGTCTTATTACATTCAGTAAAAGATTTAATTTGATCTTAAATATAATATTTGAATTTAGTATTTAACACAGAAAATGTGTTTGCAAAAACAAAAAGGTAAAAATAAAAATATATTGTATATTTTTTATTGTATATTTAGTTTATACTATTTTCTTATTTTCTTATTTAACATTTCCCGAAGCATAATTAATAAATATCTTAAAAATACACAAAAACCATTAATATTCAGATTTCCCCTCCCCCAAAGCAAAAGTCAAATAATTTTCATTGGGATTGGCTTCTGTATAAATATCTTGAACATCTCTCTAACATCATTAATTAAATCAAATTAATTAAATCGCACGTACGATGGATATTTCATTTCAACGCATTTTCATCGTTGCGTATGATTAATTAGCCGCGTCACAGGAACAAAATGAAGGGAAATATTTGGACAAAAAAAGTATCCTGGCATTACATAACATATATCATGTCGTGGAACTTATTCAATTACCGTTAGTGACTTTCTCTGTTTGCCACAAATCAACGGCAAAAGGTGACAAAAGAAACGCTTTTGTCGCCAAAAATGACATCAGATATTCAGATATATTCAGATGTGAGATAAACACGTCCAGGACCCTAGGACTTTCAGGCCTCTAGGGGGGAGGTCAAGGTGAAAAGTCGAATAAATAATGAGGCAAAAATGCGTATAAATTGCTCAGCACAAAAGTGGCAACCAAAGCAAATAATAATCAACGAGAAAAAAACGGTAGAGGAAA